GTTGTAGTCAGCTGAGTATCGCAACTAAAGTAACAGTTGTAGTCAGCTGAGTATCGCAACTAAAGTAACAGTTGTAGTCAGCTGAGTATCGCAACTAAAGTAACAGTTGTAGTCAGCTGAGTATCGCAACTAAAGTAACAGTTGTAGTCAGCTGAGTATCGTAACTAAAGTAACAGTTGTAGTCAGCTGAGTATCGCAACTAAAGTAACAGTTGTAGTCAGCTGAGTATCGTAACTAAAGTAACAGTTGTAGTCAGCTGAGTATTGCAACTAAAGTAACAGTTGTAGTCAGCTGAGTATTGCAACTAAAGTAACAGTTGTAGTCAACTGAGTATCGCAACTAAAGTAACAGTTGTAGTCAGCTGAGTATCGTAACTAAAGTAACAGTTGTAGTCAGCTGAGTATCGTAACTAAAGTAACAGTTGTAGGCAGCTGAGTATTGCAACTAAAGTAACAGTTGTAGTCAGCTGAGTATCGCAACTAAAGTAACAGTTGTAGTCAGCTGAGTATCGTAACTAAAGTAACAGTTGTAGTCAGCTGAATATCGTAACTAAAGTAACAGTTGTAGTCAGCTGAGTATCGTAACTAAAGTAACAGTTGTAGTCAGCTGAGTATCGTAACTAAAGTAACAGTTGTAGTCAGCTGAGTATCGCAACTAAAGTAACAGTTGTAGTCAGCTGAGTATCGTAACTAAAGTAACAGTTGTAGTCAGCTGAGTATCGTAACTAAAGTAACAGTTGTAGTCAGCTGAGTATCGTAACTAAAGTAACAGTTGTAGTCAGCTGAGTATCGTAACTAAAGTAACAGTTGTAGTCAGCTGAGTATCGTAACTAAAGTAACAGTTGTAGTCAGCTGAGTATCGCAACTAAAGTAACAGTTGTAGTCAGCTGAGTATCGTAACTAAAGTAACAGTTGTAGTCAGCTGAGTATCGTAACTAAAGTAACAGTTGTAGTGAGCTGAGTATCGTAACTAAAGTAACAGTTGTAGTCAGCTGAGTATCGCAACTAAAGTAACAGTTGTAGTCAGCTGAGTATCGCAACTAAAGTAACAGTTGTAGTCAGCTGAGTATCGTAACTAAAGTAACAGTTGTAGTCAGCTGAGTATCGTAACTAAAGTAACAGTTGTAGTCAGCTGAGTATCGTAACTGAAGTAACAATTGTAGTCAGCTGAGTATCGTAACTAAAGTAACAGTTGTAGTCAGCTGAGTATCGTAACAAAAGTAACAGTTGTAGTCAGCTGAGTATCGCAATTAAAGTAACGATTGTAGTCAGCTGAGTATCGCAACTAAAGTAACAGTTGTAGTCAGCTGAGTATCGCAACTAAAGTAACAGTTGTAGTCAGCTGAGTATCGTAACTAAAGTAACAGTTGTAGTCAGCTGAGTATCGCAACTAAAGTAACAGTTGTAGTCAGCTGAGTATCGTAACTAAAGTAACAGTTGTAGTCAGCTGAGTATCGTAACTAAAGTAACAGTTGTAGTCAGCTGAGTATCGCAACTAAAGTAACAGTTTAGTCAGCTGAGTATCGTAACTAAAGCAACAGTTGTAGTCAGCTGAGTATCGTAACTAAAGTAACAGTTGTAGTCAGCTGAGTATCGTAACTAAAGTAACAGTTGTAGTCAGCTGAGTATCGTAAATGAAGTAACAATTGTAGTCAACTGAGTATCGCAACTAAAGTAACAGTTGTAGTCAGCTGAGTATCGTAACTAAAGTAACAGTTGTAGTCAGCTGAGTATCGCAACTAAAGTAACAATTGTAGTCAGCTGAGTATCGCAACTAAAGTAACAGTTGTAGTCAGCTGAGTATCGCAACTAAAGTAACAGTTGTAGTCAGCTGAGTATCGTAACTAAAGTAACAGTTGTAGTCAGCTGAGTATCGCAACTAAAGTAACAATTGTAGTCAGCTGAGTATCGTAACTAAAGTAACAGTTGTAGTCAGCTGAGTATCGTAACAAAAGTAACAGCTGTAGTCAGCTGAGTATCGCAACTAAAGTAACAGTTGTAGTCAGCTGAGTATCGTAACTAAAGTAACAGTTGTAGTCAGCTGAGTATCGCAACTAAAGTAACAGTTGTAGTCAGCTGAGTATCGCAACTAAAGTAACAGTTGTAGTCAGCTGAGTATCGCAACTAAAGTAACAGTTGTAGTCAGCTGAGTATCGCAACTAAAGTAACAGTTGTAGTCAGCTGAGTATCGTAACTAAAGTAACAATTGTAGTCAGCTGAGTATCGCAACTAAAGTAACAATTGTAGTCAGCTGAGTATCGTAACTAAAGTAACAGTTGTAGTCAGCTGAGTATTGTAACTAAAGTAACAGTTGTAGTCAGCTGAGTATCGTAACTAAAGTAACAGTTGTAGTCAGCTGGGTATCGTAACTAAAGTAACAGTTGTAGTCAGCTGACACACATTCGATCCAATTTTGGCCTAATATATATTCATTAAAGTAGCTTTCAAAGCTTCCTCGTATATTTTTCGCTTCTGTTAGCCAGAGTGGTGGGTAACATCAATGAGTTACAGCTGTGCTTCAATAAGCTATATTTTTGACAGATAATATCATTATTGGTCACGAACAATACTAAAACCCCAATGTTTATGTGAAACTTCAGTGCCGAACCGTTAAGTCTGTAGATATTGTGGGAATAGTTTGGTTGTTGTAAAACAGTTAAACAGTACCAGAACTTTTACCCCAATATAAAGAGGCAAACTAAACAAGAAATGGAAAGTTAGTAATCTGGTGGTTAGTAATCTGGTGGTTAGTAATCTGGTGGTTAGTAATCTGGTGGTTAGTAATCTGGTGGTTAGTAATCTGGTGGTTAGTAATCTGGTGGTTAGTAATCTGGTGGTTAGTAATCTGGTGGTTAGTAATCTGGTGGTTAGTAATCTGGTGGTTAGTAATCTGGTGGTTAGTAATCTGGTGGTTAGTAATCTGGTGGTTAGTAATCTGGTGGTTAGTAATCTGGTGGTTAGTAATCTGGTGGTTAGTAATCTGGTGGTTAGTAATCTGGTGGTTCATTCCCCGTAAAACTAAACTTACCACCAAAATGAGGTTATGTATGGTGGTATGAGGTTATGTTACATTACATTATATTATATTATGTTATGATACAATAATTTTTTCTGGTCTCTGATTGAAAGAATGTGTATTGAGATACTTGCGAATCATAATTTTAAACTAATTACTACAAATCTATTACATTTATTGAGAGTTATGTGATGTAACGTGATGGAAATATTTTAAACGGGTCATATCCTGTCCAAACCCAGGATGCATAACATGAAGAATTCTTTGTAACTTTGTATGAAAAGCATTAATACAACATAGTGTGTAATATATAGTGCGCAACTGTTATTTGTTTTGATTAACTTCCCACACTGCTCATCAAGGCGACTGGCAGTTTGTGTTGATAATACTCACGTAAACCTTCCGGGAAAGTATCGGTTACCAGTGTTCACGACTTTTCGGGGATATAATTCCCGGCAATAATTCTATAATTATAAGCTGAAGAACAATGCAGTTCACCACAGAACATTGGGTTAACTTACCTGACCTTCTTCACAACATTTTAACTACATTTTAACTACATTTTAACTACATTTTAACAACATTTTAACAACATTTTAACAACATTTTAACAACATTTTAACTACATTTTAACTACATTTTAACTACATTTTAACTACATTTTAACTACATTTTAACTACATTTTAACTACATTTTAACTACATTTTAACTACATTTTAACTACATTTTAACTACATTTTAACTACATTTTAACTACATTTTAACTACATTTTAAGGGGGCAGGGGGGGTCTTCATGGAAATTTTCTCAAAATCGACTTTTTAGTTGTTTCTGATAGAGGGGAGTGATATCTATCAGATGCTTTTAATCCGATAGAAAAATATTGTTCCTAGCCGAAATTATCGCCGGTAAAAGGTCAGCGCTTGTGTGTAATTGTATTGCGCGAGCGATTTTTGATCGCGTGCCCTGAAAATCGAGTCTAAAAATCTATCTTCTCCTACATTTTTTGAGCAATCACCCTCAAACTTTCAGGATATGTTCTAAGGATCATTTAGAAGGGATTGTCCGGGCAAAATTTTGAGATAGGCCTTTAAACATTTTTATTCGATTTTAAAAATCTTGGACCTCGAAAAAACGTCAAAAAACCAGGTCCAAGATTTTCAAAATCGAATAAAAAATGTTTAAAGGCCTAACTCAAAATTTTGCCCAGACAATCTCTTCTAAATGATCCCTAGAACATATCCTGAAAGTTTGAGGGTGATTGCTCAAAAAATGTAGGAGGAGATTTTTAGACTCGATTTTCAGGGCACGCGATCAAAAATCGCTCGCGCAATACAATTACACACAAGCGCTGACCTTCTACCGGCGATAATTTCTGCTAGGAGCAATATTTTTCTATCGGATTAAAAGCATCTGATAGATATCACTCCCATCTATCAGAAACAACTAAAAAGTCGATTTTGAGAAAATTTCCATGAAGACCCCCCCCCCCCCCCCCTGCCCCCTTAACTACATTTTAACTACATTTTAACTACATTTAACTACATTTTAACTACATTTTAACTACATTTTAACTACATACATTAACACAACTTGCAACGGGATATAAGTTTTGGCAGCACGGGCCTACCATAAACATTTACCTTTGCCTGCAACATTGGTACCTAACAGCTTTTGAAAGGTTTTCAATCATGAGGTTTTCAATCATTGAGCTACAATGCGATGATAGTCGCACTGTATCGATGCTGTGTATTATTGAGCTACAATGCGATGATAGTCCCACTGTATCGATGCTGTGTATTATTGAGCTACAATGCGATGATAGTCGCACTGTATCGATGCTGTGCCTTATTGAGCTACAATGCGATGATAGTCGCACTGTATCGATACCTTCTTAAAACCTGACAGACACCACAGCTAACAGCACTGCTGTCACAACATCATATTAATAAGATATAACTTATAATACATAAGTTTAACATTACCTTAAGTACAGTATGAACTTGCCGATGTAGAACTGTCCCGGTACGAAGATTAAGAGAGATAAGAATCCAGGCAGAGCAGTGTAGAGACCCAGTTCTATGTGGAGCAGGAGAAATGATATCACCAGGATTACCCACAGGTAGAATACGATAAATACTGGTCCAATGTACTGAGATAAACAAGTTTTATTGTTCTAATTGGAGCGGGTTTATTGTTCTTCTAACAGATTAAATAATACATAGTATAACATTTTCAAGAATCTGGAATTGAATAATATTGCTTTATAATAGAGAATAATGGACATTTACCTCATCCAGACGTTGAGCATCGTTAGTGATAAGGGTAACTATAAATCCAACTGATTTCTCTCCAATCTCTTTTTGGGAGATTCTGCAAGCCTTGAAATGAAAATAGTAAAGTAGTACAAAATATTTAAAATAAAATGCAGAGTGCAGTTTATGTGAGCTTATGGCTGTGACATAAACATAATATTGATGGATAAGGATATTATCTTATTGCTTCAGATACCTATACTTAAAATGAATCATTTAAAATAATATCTTTTACAAAAAAGCTATTGCCTATTCCTTCAATAAACTTCTAATACACTATTTCAAAAGGCCTTGCGTATGATTTCCTTTCCCACTGATGAGACAGTTTTGGTACAGTAAGGTAACTTGTGCACAAGTTATGTCACATGACATGAATATAATGAATCATCAAATGTAACAATTTTAACACTTTACGAAGAGTAGAATAAAAGCTCACTTTTCTGTAGATTAATCCTGTAACTGCAACTCTGATGGAGGTACCAAATCTTAAGACTTGGTAAAACAGCACATGCTTGAAGAATACCGATATGAGCTGTAAGGATACAAGTCCACCTGAACGCAAGAAAACGTTTAGTCATATGTTAAGTAATCAAATTACTATATTACATCAAAGATTGACTGTTAAAGAAACTTCCTGGTAGCAAGTAGTATTTTATAAATGGACGAAACAACAGAGAACAAATGGGAGAATAGCAAAGCACTATTGATTAAAACAAAAACAATTACTTGACCACATGAGAGCTGTTTCAAATGTCATGTTTGAAGCAGAGTCAAAGTAAGATGATATGCGGGCAATGAATAGAGGAAGGATACATCTCCCAGCAGTCTAGAAATATGCCAGTTAGTTTGATAGCGAGGACTAAAGCTTATTATACTTATTAGTGATAAGAAATCTTAGATTTATGAAGAAGGTGATGATACGAAATTCGGCAAGAAACTATAAGTATTTTAATCAAAACAACAGTCACAGTACATCTAAGCAATAGGCGAATATTATCCATATGAGGGTATAGAGATGTCTCTTTATCAGGGTCACAAGGAGAGAAGGTCTTTTAGATTGCTCTAACTCCTTAAACCATTGCCTGGAAAAAATATGGATTTAAATTTTTTCGGGTTATTAAAGTTATGATATAATATGAATGTCTCTATTATTTTTCAAAGTATCTTGAATTTTAAAGGTTTGACCACTGCACAGGAATTTTTGGTGAGTATTTTGATGGAGATAAAACTTAGGTTAAATAACCAAATATTGAGAGGCAATAAAACTATTGGACTGCAGTGAATGGGGACTTGCCACCCCATGGCAACATTAATGATGTATTTTGGTATAGTTTCCAAGGACTTTAAGGAAAATTTAATTTACTAGATCCACTAACTGTTCAAGGAGGGCGGTCAGTCGTTCACTTTGTAGTCTAGGATCGATTGGAATAACATCATCATCAGAGAAAGTTCTTTGAAAACCAACAGAAAGTATCTTCTGTACCCATCTGCATGGTAATTTCCATTCACGTGAAAACACATAATTTATCGTGAGTCAAAAAAATAAATATAAGGAATCTATAAAAAAACACATGTATAGAACAAAATTTAGGTACAAAAATGAACTCACATGAATGTTATCCGGCTAAAATAACTGGCTTCGACTTCTGGATTACCGTTATCTACAACCATATCACCTGCAAAATGGTTAAAAAAACTAAATTTTATAAACAAAACAATGCAGATAAGCCAGCACTAATCCCAAATCGTAAGTACCGTGAATTAATCAAAGCAACCTTTATGAAGTATGTACAACTGTGCCAGACACTCAAACATTCTCTCAGAAGCTATCACACTGAATATGTTGGGTTAAATTGAAAACAATGGAATGAGCCAAATGCAATTTTGTAGAGTAATATTTTTAAAAGCACTGGCCCAGACGGACATCATCCAAAGCTGCTTAAGTACCTAGCTGGAGATGCTAGTTTTGTAACAGCTCTTACAAAATTATTTAGTGCCTGTAGTGATACTGGAAATCTTCCAGAGGTATGGAAGTCTGCATCTGTAGTTGCACTTTTTAAAAAGGGCTCTAAGTCTGACCCTCTTAACTATAGACCAGTTTCTCTCACTTGTATTCTTTGTAAAGTTTATGAACAGTTAACAGTTTGTTAAATCCCATGTGTTAGAATTTTTAGAAGATCGTATTTCAAAGGACCAACATGGGTTTGTTAAAGGAAAATCTTGTTTGTCAAATCTTTTGGAGACTTTCGACACTATACTTAATTTAATAGATGAAGGTGCTCCTGTGGACTTATTTTATTTTGATTTTAGTAAAGCTTTCGATTCTGTTCCCCATTATCGCTTGATTAACAAGCTAGAGAGTCTAGGGATAACTGGTAAAGTTTTAGATGTAATTACAGATTTTATCTCAAATAGAACTATGAGAGTGTGTGTAGAAGGTGAGACTTCAGAGTGGAAGATTGTATGGTCAGGAGTTCCCCAGGGATCAGTCCTTGGACCATTACTATTTGTGTTATTTATTAATGATTTACCAGATAACATTAAAAGTAAAGTTAAAATATTTGCTGATGATCTTAAGCTTATAGCTAATGCCTCCGAGCATGAAACTATAGTTAATGATCTGAACGAACTAGAGATGTGGGAGAGTAAATGGCTTTTAAAGTTTAATCCTACTAAGTGTTCGGTAATGCATTTAGATGTTAACGATAACCCAAGATCAAGTTATTCTCTTAATGGAGTTACATTGGCAGAATCTGTACAGGAAAAAGACTTGGGAGTTATAACCCATAACTCTCTGCTTTGGAATGAACAGATTAAGGCTTCAATATCTAAAGCCAACAGAATGATATGTTGGATTGTTAGAAATCTGATTATCAGGGAAAAATCTGTGATGATATCAATTTACAAAGCTTTGATAAGACCCCATTTAGATTATTGTGTTCAATTGTGGAATCCAGTTGCCGCTCATGGAAGTTGGGGGATCATCTTGGAGCTGGAGAGCGTCCAGAGGCGGTTTACCCGTCTGATTGACGAGGTGGGTACTCTTCCATACAGTTGTCGACTGGAAATCCTCAATTTAACAACGCTGGCAGAGCGGCGAATACGTGGGGACCTCATTGAATCTTTTAAAATGATAAGTGGTTTGACCAATTACGGAGCTGGTTTGTTCAGTATGAGCAGATCTGGTCTTAATGTGGTATCAAACAGTAGATGCAGTAAAATTAGCAGTAAAATGAAGAAAGTCCACAGTTCTTTTCTTCCGGAGAGGGTGAGACCATATTGGAACAAGCTCCCCTCGGATGTCAAGAATTGTGGGACTGTGTTAAGTTTTAAATTAAGATTAGAGGCTTTTAAAAAAGAGACTATTTTAAATGGATCTGTAAATGATAGTCATTTTTGGTATGTTTCGGACGAAGTATTAGGAAAGATTGAGGGATTAAATTATGCTACTAATAAAGAGAAGCACAATGAATATCTTGTGTGTAATCCTCATGTTGCTAAAAAACTGTGTTAAGTTTTAAATTAAGATTAGATGCTTTTAAAAAAGAGACTATTTTAAACGGATCTGTAAAAGTTAGTCATTTTTGGTATGTTTCGGACGAAGTATTAGGAAAGATTGAGGGATTAAATTAAGCTACTAATAAAGAGAAGCACAATGAATATCTTGTGTGTAATCCTCATGTTGCTAAAAAACGCTTTATCAACTTATATAGTAGTGGAAAGTATGTAAATTAGATTCATTTTAACTTGGTTGTTTAGGCCAATAGATTAAAGATAATTTTTAAACTTTAGTAGATATATTTTTGATGATGTGTAATGATGTTTGTGTCATTATATTTTGATTTGATTTATGATTTGATTTAGAGTTTATGGATTCAGTTAAACAAAAATTCAGTTAAACAAAAATTCAATTTTATGCCATTTATTACAGAGTAAACAAGTTTACAATAAATCAATTTGATATTTAAAGGAATCCTAATTCAATGTGTAGTATGGTTGTCACTCTTTAAATAGATTAGATATAGGTTGACGGGGCAAAGGAGTGTGCGTGCTGTTCGCTATTGCTCACACCAAACGGCAACCTAGTAAATGTTTTGTATGGACACCGGTCTCCATCATGATACAAAATTAGGATTGTAGAATTTATTGTATAACTTTTAGTGTAGTGGAGGGAGCGGTGTGGTGCATTAATAGAGTGACAGCCTACTGAATTAGAGTTGTTTTTAAGTGAGCATAATGGGTATATTTTGGACGTAAAGGCTTTACTATGGCAACTTTAAAATTGGTTCTTTTAATCATCAATTAAATATCACTTTAAAAATAGACGCAGTTTATATCTCCGCCAAAAGCATCACATTTTAGCATTAATGCGCGTAGTTTTCTCAACTATTTTCACAGTCGCGCCTTCCTGAAGTTACATTAAACAGCCTGTACATTGAAATTAGTACTATACTAGTATTCTGCTTGCTGTTGAATTAGAATTAGAATTAGAATTAGAATCAAATTTACACAGCAATACAATAAGAATAAAAAATAATTTAAGAAGCTTCAATCTGCTGTGGAGGACATTCAAGTCAGTCGAAAACTGTTAGCAGAACACCCTTCTAGGGACATAAGGATATAGTATGTAAAACATAATGAGTAATAAATTAATGAGTGATAAAATAAGATATGATTTAACAGTGAACTGTGGGCATGAAGGTAACAATTAAGATTACATAGATGCCCACTTTGGGATTACGTTAGTAATGTTATTTACAGTTATATACAGAGAAGTATAGAACAATAATAGATTGGCAATGATAACAAATGGGAACGAGTAAAGGAGATGTTTAAAGTTCTATACTTCTGGAAATAGGTCATATATTAACGCAGGGGGCCTTTCCACCCGACAAAAACTCCAGCACCTTAAAATTTGTTTCAGTTGTCACATAGCTAGAGTGTAGAAATAGTCGAAACTATTGTTTATTTCATAGGATGAGACTCCTTGAATTACATCTGACATAAATTTAGATTTCATATATTGTGAGAATTTTACACTACATTCTATAGTCCTTATGTTCTCTGGAATTGTATTCCAACATTTTGCACCTAAATATGTAAAGGTTTTGTGTGTTCTGGATTTTTGAATATAAAGGTTGCACCTCTCAGCATCACGTGATCCTCCGGATACATAAGAAAATTTATCTGTGAATGATGATGGTGCAGCCTCATTAAGAATTTTATACATATACGTTGATAGATGGAGTTGTCTTCTTAAGTGTAAGGGTAACCACTTCATATTTCGATATACATTTACTGATGGTTCCTGCCAATGAACATCCAGAGCAATTTTTGCTACTTTCTTGTATAATACATCAAGAGAATTAAGTTTGGTTTTGGCAGCCCTAGACCATATTATATCCAGGTAGTCAAATTGGGGGAGCATAAGAGCATTTACAAACATTTTTCTATATTTCAGTGGAAGAAGATTTTTCGACCTGTATAATGCCCCTATTCTTTTGGCAATTTTTGATTTCACATAATCAATATGGTCTTGAAAGTTCAATAAATTGTCTATCATGAGACCTAAATATTTTTGAGATTTAGTTTCTTCTATAAATAGGCATTCTTTTTCCAAATCCAGAGGGATTGACAACGTGTCCAGATTAGGTGATCTATCAAATACAATGAATGAAGATTTTGCAGCATTTAGACTCAGCTTGTTGATTCTAAGCCATTCATACACAATTTTCATATCCTTAATTACATTCTCATATATGCCTCGGGATATGTTATCAAAATATAGTGCACTGTCATCTGCAAATAAGTAAACAGTAGATTGTGTGCAATTTCTACTGAGATCATTTATGAATAAACTAAATAGAATTGGTCCTAATATGCTACCCTGTGGCACACCTGTTTTAACAGGGAGTGATGTGCTTACATTACCACGTATTTTGGTGTGCTGCTTTCTGTCCCCAAGGTAGCTTTTGAACCACTTTATGACAAAGCCATCAACTCCATAATACTTAAGTTTTTTCAATAAAATATTATGGCTTACTGTGTCAAAGGCCTTTTTAATATCTAAGAATACGATTGCAGGTTTCTTCTGTGATTCCTTAGACGTAAATATTTTATCAAATAGATTAAGCATTAGAAAAGTGGTGGAATGATCTTTTCTAAATCCATACTGATTGTTGGTAAGTAGTTTATTTGTTTCAACATACTCTGTGAGCTGTTGGTTAACAAAATATTCTATGCATTTTCCAAGTAGGGGGAGTATGGATATTGGCCGGTAGTTATTTGGATCATTAGGGTCACCAGTTTTAAGAATTGGAGTGACTGATGCAATTTTACATGCCAACGGCATTGTTCCACTTTTCATACTAAGGTTTATAATATGAGCTACTGGATCGATGATTTGGGGAATAATATACTTATATACTTTAATAGGCATGATATCGTTAATAGATTTATCTGATGGTATACTGAGTATATATTCTTTTACTTGTTCAACAGTCACCTCTTCGAATACAGAGAGTTTACACTCTGGTGGAGGCGGCATATATTCTAGAAAGTCGTCTGAATCCTTTTCCTTAATTGATTCTTGTAATATTGTACCAACTGTGGCAAAATGCAGGTTAACTCCGTTAACATTTAAGTTGCTTGGGGAAGAGCTACTTATTTTTCCAGGTAAGTTTGAAGCATGTTTGATAGTTTTCCAAATACCTTTCAAATCGTTTTTTGCACTTTTCACAGTAAGGTCCTGAACAATATTTGTACGTCTGTTTTCTTTGGATAATTTTGTCACATAGTTTCTTTGGGGACGATAGTTATCCCACGAAGTAGAGAATTTCTTATGTAGTTCACTTTTTCTGCAGTTACATATTCCATTAATACACTTACACTTGAATTTGTTTAATTGTCCTAAACACTTTTTATACTTTCTGAAAAGCATCTTCTTCTTCCGTATTTCTGCCAACAGTACTTTAGAGGGATTACAAAGAAAGTTACTATTACATTTAATCTGTTTAGGTGGACAGTAATTATCATACGATTCCTGGATGTGATGATTAAGTCCATCTAGCGCATGGTCTACATTAGTACAGCTTAGAATATTACTGTAGTTACTGCAGGATCCCAGAAAATAGCTTAAGGCTTTTAGATTGTTTAAGGAGTGGTCTCTGATAAGGACCTTCTGGAACTTACTAGCTTTATTTACTTTAAAGTCGAGAACACATTTGAGAGCTTGGTGATCTCCTATTCTATCATCAAGTACTTTACACTCTATGAAATTAGAGTAACAGTTAGTCATTACAACATCTATTGTGCTCTGCGTTATTCTACCATCTAAGTTTGCAACTCTAGTAATTCCTGTAACAGTCTGTATCATTCCAAAGAGCTTCATTGTTATATCTAACTTTTTATAATCTAGATCAGATAAAGAGTTTTGGTTAACATTAACATCGCCAATCCATATTACTTTCTTACCTTGAAGTTTCATCATACATTCAGTCATATAATCAAGGAAAGTATCTAGATGACAAAAGTTTTGTGATCTGTAGAAGCAGCAAATGTAAAGATTGGCGTCCTTGAGTTGTATCCATATAGCTTCGATTTTAGAAATATCAGAGTAGGTTATATCTAAATTGAGTAATTTGTGGTTAACATTTTGGTTGATCAATATACCACACCCTCCTCTTCCTCTATCGTTAGGTCTATCACACCTTATAAAATAAAGTTTAAGGGGAAGTTAAGTGTACTAGTGTCTATATCAGATTTAAGGTTTGTCTCATTAATTCCAATTATGTCAAGCTTTTCGCGAAATATTAGCTCCTGTAGTTCGAGAGTTTTTGCCAGATTAGTCAGGCCACCCTGTATATTACATAGACCAAGAGAGAGATTATCGTTTATTGAGGTACGAATAAGGTTAAACCAAAGCTAATGGGGAACAAATCCACATGCAGTCTCCTCAAGTAGACTAAGTTTCAAATCATGTCATACATATGATTTAAATTGGATTTCGGATCAGCAATCATACTGCAGTTTAAAACATAAAATTTAACAGCATAAAATAGTAACTCACTTCTGTTTGTGATAAATATAGCTTGGGAGATATAAAAACGTTAAGTTATTAGAAATTTGTGCTGATCTAACATTTTAAACCAGATAAAACAGTAATCCTGTTATTATTCATGTTGATACCCTTGGATTATAGAATTTTAATAAGGTTTAACACAAGTGAGTTACATATTTGAGATGCTTACCAAGCCTGGCAATTCCTAACTTATTAAGGTGCACATTGTCATGGCCCCTGCCAAAATACTTGTCCTTTCTATTATAATTTAAAGTAAAGAGATTATTTTCATGTTCTGTGTTAATGTATATTAGCCCATGCTTATAACACATATTCTCTAAGAATCGATTAAGTCCCTGCACTATGATGTTCTTACTAGTGACAGCTCTAGGCAGAATATTTAAGATATATATTTTTGCATTATTAAATTCTGCCCACAATTTTTGAACAAATTCTTCCATGTCATTGGTGGCACTGTTGAAGTTCATTGTGTTGAGGTCAATTGGATCAACACAGTTAGTACCAGTTAGTAAAACAACCTTTTTAACCTTTTCTTTGTTGAGAACTTTGAACTGACTGTCGCTAAAGAGTCTTTGGGACATTTGGATTGAGTTGGCCCCTGGGTAGAAAAATACTTTGGCCTTCTGAGATGAAGAGCTCAACAGTTTTTCATTCAGATGCCTAAACATGCTGCTGCTGATATAAACTGTGCTCACATCGTTGGGTGTCTCCTTTTCGAACAATTGTTGTCTGTTAACATGCCGCCCTGATTGATGCAGATGGGGTGGTGGAGATGTATAGGGTGGGGTTAGAGGTCGGTGCTGATAAGCACCATTCGTTTTCCTTGATGGATGAACTATAAACTCATCTTCTTGATAAGGTACATAGCCGCTGGAGTTGGAGATGTTTTCATATGGGTCATGGTAATTGTCATTGCACATGTTGGTTGGTGTACTTGTTAATCTTTGGACAACAGCTACAGGTTTGATCAGTCTGAATGTGATACTGATCCTTTTGTTTGTACAAGATGGTTGAGTACAGATTTCATGTCTGTAATGAAGCTGGGATTTTTTAGACATGATACAAACATCCCCATGCTTTAGATCTAGGGCAGACACCACTTTTCCTGTTTGAATTTCTGTGAACTGCATCGTCCTAGAGGCACCCAGAGAAACTGTTACAATATAAGAGTTTTCATCGATGCATTCTTCATTATCACTATGGATAGGCATGCATTCTGTCCCAGTACTGTAGTAGTTTACGAGAGCACTGTTGTAAACATAATCCGGGAGTAACACATCAAGATATGAACAGATAGCAGCCAGATAGGACTGATGTGGTATCTCCTTCGCCTCGTGACTTCCCCCATTATACACATATGGGAAGTCCCCAAAGTAAGCTGTTTTCCTATTTTGAAACTGGTGGCTAAAATCCAATTCTCTCAGGAAGATGTCTAAGGAGAATTTTTGAAACGGTGCCTGATCAATGAGTTCAACAGGTGGTATGATAATGTCAGGGCTTTCGTCATTTACACTTAAGGCCACACTAGATATGGGTGTTACATCTATTTCAGCATAATACTTGCCACTCCATGGATTGACAGATCCTGTACTCCCACTGATTTGATTTTCTGTGTTGTTGGAAATGATAGAATCTGGTGCTTCAATGATGCCATCACTATTGATTAGCATGAAAGATTCAGGCACCTCGCATTCACTGTCATATTCAATCTGATCGTTTTCAAATTCTGTCTGAACTGCAACATCTGAACACCTATCCAGGACAGCCCGATAATCTATTGACTGATTGGTACTTTGATGTAACAACGTACCAATAATCTCTGCTATAGTCTGAGAAGTTTGAACAATGTCTTCTAGGATGATCACTTTCCGCTCGAGAAACTTGACATGAGATTTGAGTGCAGTACAGTTTTTGCATTTTTGATCACATTCCGACAATAGTTTTCCAAAAAATGTTTCCATTGAATCGTCCATGATATTGAGTTGATGATTTGAATTAAGTTGTTGATTTGAATTGAAGCAAATTGAAGAGTTCACATGTGAGATTTGTTCCATTCCATTAACGTTACATTCGTATTACATTCGTATTACTTTGGTCATACCTCAAATTATTTGTTATATAGTAGTGTTGAAAGTATTAAAACTGATAGTTTTCCAAATACCTTTCAAATCGTTGTATTAATAGTAATAGAAAACAATTAAAAATTGTCAAGGAATTGATTTGAAATGAAATAACACAAAATATATTTAAATAATACAACTTATAGTGACGAACAAAAAATCTGAATTAAACATCATCAACTAGAGAGTCTTGAAATTCTGCTCAAATGCTTTTTAGCTTCTTTCGCTGCTTTTTTGGAGGTCGACCCTTATTTTTTGTTGTTATATTTGTCGGGTCGGAAAACTCCAATGAGATAGGCAAAATAACTCCGTCTGCTGTCCTTTTTAGAGCTCTCGTTAACATCCTGAGATATAATACTTTCATATAAATTACTGAATAGAAGTAGCTCAAGTCTAATTCAATACAATCTTATTGTATGTAATAATCAGTTTAAGGAGTATGATAAACACAATATCTTTAATAGTACAATAAACATATCATATTATGATAAATGTATTATGTTACATGATTCAAAAATAAACGAATCAAAAATTGCTATGACTTACCATTCAGCGAATTCAGTCATTCGTGATTTGCACTCTTCTAATTCTTCAAGAGGGAGTTCATAAACGCCTGATGATATGCTCTTGATGACCTGGAGCGTCTGCTTCCTACATCTCGCCAACTTGAGTGCTTTGTTTTTCTGTGAATACATAATATATATATGTTTTTAAAAAACATAAATTGTTTCACAATAGACATTACAACTCTGATCTTCGGCAATAAAATGAAGAAGCACACACAAGTGCCAGTCATGACATCCGTTTTGGCTAATTTATGTCATAATGATGATTATTGCAGTACAATGAGGTCATGACAAGTGCCAAGTCATGACATCCGTTTTGGCTAATTTATGTCATAATGATGATTATTGCAGTACAATGAGGTCATGACAAGTGCCAAGTCATGACATCCGTTTTGGCTAATTTATGTCATAATGATAATTATTGCAGTACAATGAGCCACTTCCATTTAATGGCTTAAAATGAGGCTTATTGTGTTTGATCAAAACATCAATAGGTGAAGCCTCGAACAAGAACTCGTCGAACCCAATCTGAACTCAATATTTACCTCAAGTCTTAGTGGCATTATCGATTCCTCGATGTTCATGTTTGTTGACGGTCCAGGCTGGGAATCTTCTACAATATCTACAATATCTACATCATTGGCTACAATATCTACATCATTGGCTGATACATTATGTAGCCCTGATCTGTCCTCCTGACCTATTGTGACCTCTTTCCCTCTTCCGCCTCCACCATCTGTTGCGTGATTTCCACCACAGATGGACAGTACAGTCCCGTCATCTGTACACTGGCATTGAACTCAGCAGCTTGATGGTAAACAGCAGGCAACTTGGACAGCTTATTATCTACAACTGGAGTAATGTGAGATATTGAAAGTAAACTTACCCTGCTAGAATGGAACTGTGAAACTGGAGTAATGTGAGATATTGAAAGTAAACTTACCCTGCTATAATGGAGCTGTGAAACTGGAGTAATGTGAGATATTGAACGTAAACTTACCCTGCTAGAATGGAACTGTGAAACTGGAGTAATGTGAGATATTGAAAGTAAACTTACCCTGCTAGAATGGAACTGTGAAACTGGAGTAATGTGAGATATTGAAAGTAAACTTACCCTGCTATAATGGAGCTGTGAAACTGGAGTAATGTGAGATATTGAAAGTAAACTTTTAACTTACCCTGCTAGAATGGAACTGTGAAACTGGAGTAATGTGAGATATTGAAAGTAAACTTACCCTGCTAGAATGGAACTGTGAAACTGGAGTAATATGGGATATTGAAAGTAAACTTACCAGTGACGTAACGAAAGGCCCTGCTGACCCCGCTGTGCAGGGGGGCGCCGTCTTAGGGGGGCGCCAAATCGTCGTTTGAATGTGGGACAATTTCGAAAACTTAACTAAAGTACTAGCAAAACTGCGCGTTTTGCTCTAGATACACACTTTTTTAGAGATTTTACCGGAGTATTCTTTAAAATAGAACAACAGGGGGGCGCTTTTTTCGGCAGGGGGGCGCCAACAGGCAACGTTACGCCACTGAAACTTACCCTGCTAGAATGGAACTGTGAAACTGGAGTAATGTTAGATATTGAAAGTAAACTTACCCTGCTAGAATGGAACTGTGAAACTGGAGTAATGTTAGATATTGAAAGTAAACTTACCCTGCTATAATGGAACTGTGAAACTGGAGTAATGTTAGATATTGAAAGTAAACTTACCCTGCTAGAATGGAACTGTGAAACTGGAGTAATATGGGATATTGAAATTAAACTTACCCTGCTAGAATGAAACTGTGAAACTGGAGTAATGTTAGATATTGAATGTAAACTTACCCTGCTAGAATGGAACTGTGAAACTGGAGTAATGTTAGATATTGAAAGTAAACTTACCCTGCTATAATGGAACTGTGAAACTGGAGTAATATGGGATATTGAAAGTAAACTTACCCTGCTAGAATGGAACTGTGAAACTGGAGTAATATGGGATATTGAAAGTAAACTTACCCTGCTAGAATGGAACTGTGAAACTGGAGTAATGTTAGATATTGAAAGTAAACTTACCCTGCTAGAATGGAACTGTGAAACTGGAGTAATATGGGATATTGAAAGTAAACTTACCCTGCTAGAATGGAACTGTGAAACTGGAGTAATGTGAGATATTGAAAGTAAACTTACCCTGCTAGAATGGAACTGTGAAATTGGAGTAATGTGAAACATTAAAAGTAGAGAATAAATATTTTCCACAATCAGACAGAGTAATTGGTCAAATGTTAAACAATAAACTGATTTAAAAGAAGCAAATATTAGTCGACTAAAATTATGATCTGATAAAGTGCACTGTGAACTCAAATGTTTGAAACAAACTCACAACGCGGATCGAACAGTTTAAAATGGGACACAATATAAAGACAGAATAATTGATCAATTAATGTTAAACGAACTAATTTTATGTTAAACGAACTTATTCGAGTCAAACAAATGTCAAATACTTACTCTTACCTGTAACATAATTAGACGATCGCAATTAGAAAGTAAACTTACAGGGGTCAAGTTCAACTGGCTGAAGTAAAATACAATTTTAAGTAAAATACAATTTTTATTTTCCACAGAAGAATCAATACATATTGAATTATAAATATCCGATAATTCCATTAATAATCATTAAAAGTTGCTTTGTCATTTGTAAAATTAAAAACGAAAAGCCTTACGCTGAACTGTGAACGCGCGCGGCGTTTTTTCTGCAGCTGCCTAGCTTCAAGCTTGTAGCCGCTAACATCAAAGCCACCGCGCGCGCCCAGTGCTGGGGTGCATTTTCATTAACAATTAAACTTGGTCAAAGATAGTTATATACAATTCCTAAATTAAATCAATAATCATGTTAATATGAGTATTCAACACTACTCGACAACAAATATTTGCCGGCCCATCAACCATTCAGTCGCCGAAACAAAAACCATAATCAAATGTTTGCTTTTTCGTTTCGGGGACTGTTTGAACTCAGTACTATATCCGACTAATCATACTTTATAATGGTTAAAATACAAAGTAAAAAGATTTTCCTCGATGGGCCGGCATTCGCAACCGCGAAACGTTTTGAGTACGACGAACGATGACACCACCACTATCCGTTAATTAATAAGTCCATGGGTGACGGGATAAAATTAAAGTAAGATCAAAGATGTGTAATTTTATATTGCCTATCACCTATCACCAAAGTTACTTTGCATGTACTGCATACTGCTTTTAGTTACACGATAGCGATCTCAGTTCCCAATAATATAACGTGTGACCCAACAGAAGGGATTGTGGAAGGACACGCAAATTTTTCATTAACACGTGCCCTGATTACCCCCTCCGTTGAGCTACTATACGGGGACCGTTGACCGCCAGTCTGTATAGTAGAGGCTCTTACGGGCATTGTCTGCTCGATACGTTAGGGACCCCAGGTACACCTTACTAGACGTATTTTTGACCGTAGAATCGATTGAAAGTGGTTTCAAGATGATTGGACCGATTGTTCTGGGGTAAAATCGCAAAAAACTGATTTTTGGGCCAAAAATAGGCCAAAAACCATGTTTTTTGATATTTTGAGCAAGTTAATTTTGTTGGCATGTCGGCAAAACTTGCATAAAGATAGCTAAAAGACAGCCGCACAAGATTGTATAAAAATAAAACAAATCCCTCTATTTGTTCTGAGGTAAAAATCCAAAAAAGTGGTAAAAATTTTGACTTTTTTGCTTGAAGTTTGAATAATTTTTTGCAGTTGTATTAAATCAACCCAAAAATAGTCACATCGTGTTTGCCTAAATTTTTCCTTTCCGAGAAGTACCCACATCATATACTTTATCGAAGTTTGAATATTTTCACTCCGCAAGCGTTTTTGCCAAATTTTCTACGCGCACTACGCGCAAAAGCATTTAGTTGTTATCAATTGGCACCCGCGCGTTCATCATAAATTTCAAACAGCTATAACTCAGCGAGATTATGTCCGTTCTAGCTCATATTTTCACACTAAATAGAAAATAATGTGATCTTATTGCTGACAAAATATGAATATAATTACTCTATTTGCCTTAGAGTAATAGACTGTCAAAGTTTAAAACGTGCATTGGTATAGCACGTGACTAATAAGGCCAAATTTATACTTCTTAACATATTATCGATCCTTAGACATCATACTATTGTGTCCAATTAGCGGTTAGGTCTCTAAACTCGTAGCAGAAAACACGTCTTTTTGCCCGTAAGAGCCTCTACTAGTAGTCAGATCGTTAATAAATTTTACTTTAAAATTGGTTGCCGGGTGATGGTGTCAGTGAGAAACGTTAAGTTAGGTGAACATTGGTACAAAAATATAATAATATAGCAGTTTATCTCAAAGTTAAAATCACTATTTGTTAAAGTATACAAACAGTTCTATTCAAAAGAACAAAGTCCGAGAGCAGATATAAAAGAAGATTTGGAGACTATACACGCATATGTGGGGTTTAAATTTGGTATTAGTAATTTTAGGGTTCGACCGAAAATGTTGGTCGGTTGGCTAATAGTATAGGGAGCAGTCACTGTCATTAGAATTATCAGATTAGGAGTAACAAGGATTTTACTAATTCACTCGCCAGCGCGCTATCACGTGTTTTTAATGCCGTGATTTCATTGGTCACCTCTATAGCGCGCATTATTTGTGACAGCATAGTTGTTTTTATACAATTTGTTCACCGCGCGTGCAATAAACTCAATTTAAGCTTTGATTTGTGACCAAAATGGGCCATAATATGGTTTATGAAACGCATGGCCTGTAATTAGCTGATTGAATTTTAGGCACTATATATATTTTATAAGGTTGCATGAATTCACGAATTATCAATAACATGCAATAAAATTATTCCTGCAAGTTTTGATTCAATTTCATTTAAGGTTTGTTTGATTCAATTTCATTAAGGTTTGTTTTCAGTTTTGCATCGCGAACAGATACCACGATTTGAAGTTGTTACACGGCCAAGGATAAATCTCACAATTTTTTAGATTTGTAGCTCTGTTTATCAACGGTGAGATTTCTGAAAGGGCAATTGAAATTGAAATCGATTTGCCTCTTAATGGGGGGGGGGGGGGGGGGGGGGGGTTAACCCTGATTTTTTGTGAAACTTGGTTTCGAGATAGCAGTTGACCAACAAACTAGAACCGGTGACCAAACTTTTGAGGGGGTCCCCGACCCCAACCGCCAAACGGTACCCGCGGGGCAGCCACGCCCATATTTGGTACAAATTAGGCCCAATTTAGCCAAATACCCTGAACATGCCCAAAACCCAGATTTAATGTGCTTTACTTGTAGCTAGTGGTCCCCTGAATAAGTATATGAATTTTCATCAAGATTGGGCAAAAAATGACTGATTTTTGATTGGGGACCAGCTTTTGGTACACTGGTTAATGTTTACTATAATATTAAAGTATTACAATTACATAAAATTCCCCAAAACCCCCAAAAACCCCCCCCCCCACCCCCCCCCCCCCCCAAATTTTTTTTACCCCCCCCCCCCCCCCCCGGGGCCCCCCCCCCCCCCCCCCCCCCCCCCCCCCCCCCCCCCCCCCCCCCAAAACCCCCCCCCCCCCCCCCCCCCCCCCCCCCCCCCCCCCCCCCCCCCCCCCCCCCCCCCCCCCCCCCCCAAAACCCCCCCCCCCCCACCCCCCCCCCCCCCCCCCCCCCCCCCCCCCAAAAAAACCCCCCCCCCCCCCCAAAACCCCCCCCCCCCCCCCCCCCCCCCCCCCCCCAAAACCCCCCCCCCCCCACCCCCCCCCAAACCCCCCCCCCCCGGGGGGGCCCCCCCCCCCCCCCCCCCCCCCGGGGGGGGCCCCCCCCCCCCCCCCCCCCCCCCCCCCCCCCAACCCCCCCCCCCCCCCCCCCCCCCCCCCCCCCCAAAAACCCCCCCCCCCCCCCCCCCCTTCCCCCCCCCCCCCCCCCCCCCCCCCCCCCCCCCCAAAAAAAACCCCCCCCCCCCCCCAAAAAAACCCCCCCCCCCCCCCCCCCCCCAAAAAAAAAAACCCCCACCCCCACCCCCCCCCCCCCCCCCCCCCCCCCCCCACCCCCCCCCCCCCCCCCCCCCCCCCCACCCCCCCCCCCCCCCCCCCCCCCCCCCCCCCCCCCCCCCCCCCCCCCCCCCCCCCCCCCCCCCCCCCCCCCCCCCCCCCCCCCCCCCCCCCCCCCCCCCCCCCCCCCCCCCCCCCCCCCCCCCCCCCCCCCCCCCCCCCCCCCCCCCC